CGCGGGAAAAATTCTTTGTGGGAGAGGTTTATTTCGGTAAATGTCAACTAACTATAAGTTAGTATATAAGCATAACTATATAAGTTGCGTGTCAACAAATTGAACTTCTATTCTTCGTTTCTTTGTAATTTCAGCCCATGAGAAGAACAGCAACCCATTTCTGACATTGATCACTTATCTTGTACACCAGTTTCTATATAGTGCTATACGTTGGGGGACTGCTGTTCTATTCTCTTCACTGTCTATTTTGTAGTTTCCCCATTTGAACGTGTGGAAGAAAAAAAAAGATATAGGGCATTACAAGTAGCGACACATAACTCTTTGTTCGAGATTATCACATCTATATTTGCAGGAGAGGTTTACGTAAGGACTGGGCTTTGTACAGATGTTGTGCGTCTGACTTGCGGCATATGGATGTATATAGATTCTCTTCAAACAGAAAAATTAATCACTCCTAGTTTAATCTGGGTAAAATATCATGCATTGATCAATCGATCACGGAACATCTTCTAATTCCAGTATTATAACCCCTTTAGGCCTATCATTTCTAGCATATTGACATAGCCTACCTTTATATGTTAACTACTTTAATATCCTTTTTTAAACCCTTTTTCAGGTTGATCTGTATCGTCCACTGAGTTCACCTTAGGTATTTTCTACAAGTGCCTTTCCATACATTGACATTCAGTGGAATGACTAAAAAGATAAAAAGCCCTGAAGAAAGTCGAGGGTGTGGCCGGAGCATGGTAGAGTTTACGGTAGCGACGGATCATTTATCTATGAAAGGATTAATAACGTCCACTGACCATAGAACACGTTAATAGATTACTTTGATGTCCAACGTGAAATGCATATTAATTCAATAGAAGACCTAGACTTGTTTTTTAAATATTTTGTTATTAAAATAGGTAGACTTGTTGATCCAAGGTTTGGGATTTAGGTCAATTGTTATAACAAGCCAGGTAGATAATAGTAATAAATAATTAACTACCCAGATTTAAATCAGTTAAAAGAGAAAGAGAACACTCGCCCCATCATGCCTTGTCCCTTTCCCTGCATAGAGCGGGAAGATAAATCAATTAGCGCGCAAAACAACGACCCGCGAAATTGGGGCTTTTTACTCCATGCCAAAGTAAAAAGAAAAACGATGGAATCGTAGCAGATATTAAAAATCAGCGCCCAGTCCGGAAAGCGAAAATCAAAAGGCAAAAAAAACAAAGTGCTTTTCTAAAGTGTTAATTCAAATGTCATGTTTGCTTTCTTCTTGCATAAAAGGTTCCAAGTGAAACATGTCGACACGCAAACCAAAAAACAATGGCCATTTATTTGGCGTTTTAATCATCGTGTTTATCTAGAAAGAGGGGAGCAGTGTGGTTTGTATTATCATTAGGGTAACGTTAGCTCTTGCCTCATTCCTTTTCCTTAAAGAAAAGTGCCGTACCAGTCATGCTTTATTCATAAATGTATGACATTTGTATAGCAAGAAATTGGCAAGACTTTTTCTATTTTCTGATGAAGAAATATTCCATTATATAAACAGAGCTTGAACAGAGCTGGTGCCCTTCTGTCGACCGAATTATATGTTGCTTGCCAGTCTTGGATAATTATAGAGGTGTTTGAGATAGTGTGTGTTTGCCAATGTCTGCTTTGAAATTAAAAGAGAGTTTACTTAATCCCTTGTTCCTTCTTTTTTAGAATCAATCCATTATGAACCAGGTTTCCCTACAGAAGTCTTAACGTAATGGATTAACATGTAATTGAAGTGCCAAGAGCCCAGCATGCCCAGTGGATCACCAAAGAAAAACAATATTCGATTATAAAATGACGTGTCTATTCCCTGGGTTTCGCGCTTCTCTATGTGTTTAGTACCTGAGGATTTCTTTGTTATTCTATTTTGCTTCAAGGAAACATAATTCTAGTATTTGAACACCCGAGGGAGTAGTTGGTAGCTAGAAAGCGATGTGGGGGAAGGACAGTCATCAAACATTCCCCGCTAAAGGTTAGCTAACTTGGTAAAAAGATGTGCATGTAAGCCTTTACAATTGGCACGATAATTACCTTTTAAATTTGCTGTATTAACTTATGGATTACGTGGTAAAAAGATATGTCATCCTATTTTGCTTCAAAGAAACATAATTCCTGTATGTGAACACCTGAGGGAGGCGTTGGTAGGTAGAAAACGATGTGGGGAAGGACAGTGTTCAAACATTCCCTGCTTAATGTTAGATCATTTGGTAAAAAGATGTGTGTGTAAGCCTTTATAATTGGCACGATAATTACTTTTCAAATTCAGTGTATGAAGTTGATATTACCTTTTGAAATGGTTCCTTATTAAATTTGCACATCTATCTGATAGGTGGCAAATACGAGGGATATTGAAGTTGGATCATCTAATAGCGTTATTGTTACCATCAAAAGATTGAAACTATTTACAATTCAATGTGCAGAGATAAAAGGTATTAAGGTAAAGGGTATTATAGTAGAATAAAATCGTTATTTCAGTCTGCGTAGTAAAGGATGAACGGACAGAATATAAAACTCGCACAATTTACTTCCAATAATGTGATTAGGTAATTTCTATATTTTGTTGTACTTGTGGAAGGAATTACTAAAAGGTTGGTTGGATTTACCTTTAAAAAACACTGGAACTTAAAAACATATATACATTTTTAATGCTAAACTGGTGTTTTCTGTTGAAGATGTACGAAAGGGTAAGTAAGGCTCAGATTTTGAAACTACAACACGAGTCCAATAAGGTGATGATGTCAATGTTATGCACAGGTAATTTCAATTAAATTTCAGTCACGTTTCAAACGTGTCTTAGATGAGAGACTTGTACGAATCTAAATTTGGAATTTTAGCTCTTATGATAGTCCAATGTTTAAATAAAAGGAAGCACCTGTAATGAAGTACACTGTATATGTTACTTAATTTTCAATCAATTCTGGAGGGGATAGGAAAATGAGCAGTATGGTAATAAGAAGTGTGGGAAATGAGTGTCAATGACGATGAGCCTCGACATTGATACAACATGGGATCAATGGGGTGTAAATAACGACACGTCAGGGAAGATAAGAGGATGTTCTTAATTCAAAAGAAGAATTCCTTCTTTCGCAGTGGTCTGCACAGTGGTTTGCACAGTCCCGTCAAATATAAAGTGACCTCGCATTAAAAATAAAACAAAGTAAATAATTAAACATTACACAAAGTATTAAAAAAATGTCCTTAACAACGCTGTATAGTTGAGCTACAATATGTCTATTGCATCAAAATCGTTTTTGACTGATTTTGCTGACTCGTTTTGCCCATCCTTTCATATTCATATGACACTGCTATCAATTTTTTTTTTTTTACTAAACCCCAATCTTTAATTACCATAAGGTGCAAAAAGCAGTATTTAGGTGACAACAGCCACGCCTCAGCCTCGAATAAGGTTCCATCGCCTCTGGAGGACAGGGTACAAAAACGTCAGTACAATCTATCGATACGTGACCAGTGGCTGTGCACCCCCCCCCCCTCCCCTTGAATCTGTCGAGTACTGTTGTGAAAAGAAAACAAATTACTTCGTCGCCGAATATGCCGAGGTAATCTAAATAGCTTATAAATGGAATAGTTAGTAGATGTAAAAGAAACAGTTAATTCGCATTGTGAAGGGCGTTGTTGGCTAAGCCCTTCACAATGTGAATTAACAGAAAAAAAATGAAATGTACATTAACGTTTAAATACTTTGTAGTGTGCAAGGCTCTATAAACAAACAGAATACGCAAAAAACAACGCATTCACATTTCTTTCCTCATCTATATCATCCATTCATTTGATAAAAGAAGAAATACTAGTCGCTCAAAACTAATCATTTCTCAAGGTGTATTTAAAAAAGAAAGTCAAAATCAAACCAAAGACAAATGATGCAGGTATTATTACATTACAATAAATAATGAAACAAAACTCACTTTCGACTAAACGTTTCAATAGTGCAAACAAATATAGACAGTCCGCGTTCAGTTACTTATGATCTCTAAAAGGTGGATTTCAAAAAGCAGCATTTGAACTCAGAAACACTAAAATGACAAAGGCTTCAACTCTTTACTTGCATGGATCAAAGCCCCAGACTGTCACATTTTTTACAGTGCATGGCACTTGTACACTGTGTAGTGTGACCAAATTCAACCACGTTAATCCATTGTTTGTTCAATAAGTCGACCAAAGCCTGTACAAATTTAATAATAGTCGGAGTAATTCGGATAAAAATGTCGTCGATTAGCATATCTGTCCCCCAAAAGACCACCCCCCAAAAAACAACAACAAAATAAATAAATAACAATAATATATTTTTTTTAAATAACGATAATATAATAATATCATATTTTTGCCAATAGTATATTTCCAATATCAAATAAAATTATTTGTGACGAAAGAATATTTAATTGTAACTAAGTAGAGATAATGTTGTATGTGAGCTTATCTAAACAAACAATAAGGTTTTAAGTAGTTGCCTTTAAATAGATAAAAATAATAATAAGGTTTATGCCATAGGTGGTCAACAAACACGCTCATTGATACGATTTCTTCATTTTCTATTCTCCCTTAACTTTTTTCAATACCCACTCTCTCTCTCTCTCTCTCTCTTTCTTGCTTTCCTTTTTGTCTTTATTCAATTTTTCCATGTGCGGGGTTATGAACTGGTTAAGAATTCAACTTTATCCGCACTACACGACAGTGACTAAGACGACGAGAGTCTTTAAATCCCTTCTGAATCTAATTACATTTCAATTTTACGATTAGTCAAATGTAATAATGCAACAGTAACGAGAAATAGTGGTCGAGTAAGATATACAGACATATCTTCACAGCCAATTTAACATCGAATGACATAAGATTGGCGACATTTTGATGTAACAGTGCATGGAGATCAGAGCTCATTAATCAACAATCATAATCTTGAGAATACAGCAAACGAGATGATTTTCCATGTTACTGAATTGATTGGTAATGACTTTTACCTTATTCGGTTGATTATAGATGGTCGGCTGTACACCTGTAACGTAAACTCCCTTATACCACGTTTAAAAGGGACTTGGCACCAAAAACTACCTCTCAAGTTCTGCTGCTCCACCAGGAAAAGGAGAGAGCAAACTTTCTTCCACCTTCTTCTCTTTCTTCTTCTAAACTCACTCCCTAAGAAAGCCCGACTTCTCTAGCCATGGAATGTATCTCCAGTTCAGTGAATATCTTTCAGAAGTACCGTCTTCCCATACACGATCCACGTGATGGAAATGTCAACGAAACGGAGATTGAAAACGATGATGATCAAATTTACAGACCGCTTGTCCGCTATATATTGCCACTTATGCTATCGGGACGTGTTTGGTCGAGTTGGGGCGTTTGACGGCCAGATTTATAGACCTCAAGGTGTCTTTACTCCTCCGCTTTTCAAGGAGTGCGTTTCGGCTGTTAATTTACTGGCTTTACGTGAACGAGCTCCCGGATGACAATTTCAAAATGGTTTAACTGGAAGTGAGGCTTATTGAATAAGCTAAAACTGTGACGAGAAAAACCAAAAACCGTCAATACGTAGATTGTGACGTGGAAATTAGTGTTCTGTGCCTTTAGCGGCTGATCAGCTCACAGGCACTAATTATTCATTTTATTCCAAGTTGAGCATAGATGCCGTGCTCAGATTGGTCGAACGATGATGCGCGCGAAATTCACCCACGGACAAGCTTGAAAGCTTTATCCTATACTATCGTCGTACCTTCTCCAGTCAATTCACATTTCTTTTCACTCGCAGGACGCATTCGTCGTCTTTGCATAAAACCTTCCAGTTGTTCATAAATGATGTTTGGAAAACGATAGCAACATGGTGCACATAAATCGCTGAAGTTTGTGAGGTGGTGGTTGCTGTTGTTGCTATTGTTGATGTTTTTGTTGTTTCTGAAAAATTAAATTCAATGCAATATCTTTTATTCCATTTTGATTAAAACAATATTATCACTAAATTCATATTTGAAATTGCTTCGAAACACTGTAAAAACTTTCGTGAGAGCTTGAAGTTTGCCATGCCAATATGCTTGTAGATTAAAATAAATGCTTTATAAAAGTCGGAGGGCATTTCATTTCGATATTAAATCTTTGTTATTTCTTCAATTAATGAGTTGAAATTAGATTATTGCGACTAGAAGGGTTGTTCAAGAGCGCTTGCTTTAAAATCATTTTAACAGCACAGTAATATCTGCAGTGATTTAAACCTCTCATTTTTGAGATCTTTGAGAGAGTACCCATTCCTAAAACTTTCCTTCTAAATATGATAACATAACTATTTATTTGAAGATATTTTATTAGCTAGGGGGCACCCTCTCCCCTCATCGAATGGAGAAAAATAATAATTGAGAATTAAGACAAAATTAGGGAAGGGGAAAGAACAAGGAAAGCAGATAACAGGATACCCCACACACCCCTCCTGATATATGTTGTAAATTCTTTATTTATCGAATAATACCAGTGCCCCCCCCCCCCTCCCTTGAGGATAGTGTCGTCTCCAAGGTTTTACCCCAATGCTTGTGGATAATATTAACAAATCAAGTATAATAGCTACATTAACATCGCGCACGTACCGACCTAGGGGATGCTGAAGGCGCCTACAAAGGAGCATCATAGTAACTTAGCCTTAGCCCATGTGCCCTAAGGCAGGCACCCATTCACTACACCGAGGTGGAGAGTGGCAAATGCAGATCAATGTATTGCCTAAGGACATTACCGCCGCGGTGGGACTTGAACCATGTGATCCACAGTCCGGTGACGTATTTATTAGACCACGACACCATTGCCCATACCTTAAAAAAAGGAATATAATACTTTGCATATTTTTTGTTTAATCTATTTGTCATATTCCTTTCGGAGAAGAGTTTGTTTCGATACCAAACAATTTCAAAAATGTACAACAAGATTTCTGTTCTAGACTTATTCTCTGGGTTTAAACTTGTCGACCACCATGGTTAGCAATGTCCACGGACTTGGACAACAGAGACATCAGAATATGAAAGAAGGTAAAGAGATCAAATTCTTTCACAATTAAATCTATCTTTCAAATGAAATAACCGACGGTATTAAGTGCAGGATATGTATTTTTTAATCTCATCATCGTCATTATCATCATCATTGCCACCCTTGTCTTTGTTGTCAATATTTCAGTACAAAAAAAATCACAGTTAGACTTGAGGAAATCAATCATAAACTTAATGTTCCGGTGAGATTAAATCATTTGTCACCGCGTCATGATTTAAAAAACAAGTGACGTCATAATGAGGTTCAAATACCCCCTCTAACAATAACAAATCATCACCATCGTCCTTGACACGCCGTCAAGTGGCTTCTTCCAAGTACTTCTCTTGCGTATTTTTTCTCGTCAAAACACTTTATTTTTCAGTATCATTTTCATCCCCTTTGAATTCGCGTGGCGCCCATTTCACCATCGAGATTCGAGAATAATATATTTGACTTTCGACAGTTCCATTTGTATTTCTCCCTGGGCGTAATGGTTTCCCACCTTCCAGGATCCCGTTATTAGTGGGCGTTCAGCGAATCGTCTTCGTGAGTTCCATGATTACGTAATGGTTTGACTGTAAGAAGCTCTTGCCACGTCATAGCCTAGGGATGGAGAAGGCCGAAGCTCCTCGCAGAGCCACGGGATACAAAGAGCTTGGGGATGTAATCACCGGGTCAGCTTTGCAGTTGCAGCTAAAGTAAAGATTACCAATCAGTGACAGTGTGAGTTTAGTTAATGTATAGGGTTTCAGAATATGTACATCTTCAAATTTGGTTGCTTGCATAATCATTGGATAGGCGAGTGCGTATGTGTGTTTAGGAGGGATGTGGTGGGGGAAGGGTGCAAGGGCCTTTGAATGTTTTTTGAAACAGATTTATGGCGCCATACAAAAGCTGTTCATCATCATCATCATCATCATCATCATCATCATCATATTACGTTGGACAAGGTAAGCTCATTATCATTGTTCAATTCATCTATGCTTCACTTGGCCATTGCATAGAGACTTCATTATGGAAGAAGTGTGTACAATTCTGTAGCTTTCTTCTTATGAAAGAAAAGGAGCAATGCAACATGAATATGAATGTTATGAAACCAAAGCAATGCATTCGATTAATAAATAGGTAGGTAGGGGCTAAGAAAATGTACCTATATGCGTCCAAACATACGATGAAACCTTCAAAGTAACAACATAACGTAAATCCAAGTGGTGACGTCACTGGGGCTTTAAAAGGAGTCACTTTTACTACCCTCATCGGGAAAGGTTGGTAATAAAAGATGCCTCAAAGTTGACTGCGACCCCCTCTGGTTTGAAACGGAGGTAACGAGAGCAGTCATGACCCAAGTGTGACGTCATCAACCGCAGAAAAAATAAACACTTGTGTATTAAAAATCTCTTTATCGCAATCCAAAATCTTTTTATATCATTTGAATAGTTGTCGTAATCTTTGTTGTCATTGCATCGCAGTCAATGTCATATTTGATGCAACAGATTCCTTAAAACATAATCATCAAGTACATGTTCTCTGAAAAAATGTTCCCTATCTGAACCTGAGAAGAGGAAAGTCTTTGGCCTTATCGACCTCTCCTTGCAGTCGTAACGCCCTCCCTCCCGCTTTTTTGATAAATGTCATCAGAAATGATGACGTAGTGGTGTTGTGAAGATGGCGCTGGTAGGAAGTGTTTTCATACTTGGCATTCAGACACCCGCGGTGGATGTGACGTCACCGTGGTCAAGGGCATTACAAGAAACAAAATTACTTTTATTTTGATCGTGTGTCTACCAAAAAGGGTAAACACTCTCAAAATACAATCGCCCAAGTTCCATCAAGAGAAGAAAAAAACACATCATAAATAGATTCAAAGAAATGAACACAAATTATTTTATAGCATCGAAACCTAACAATCAGCTGTCAATGAACAAGAGTTATTATGTCGTTCATCACCGGAATCATACTTTATGCTACTGGATTTTTTGTCTTCAATGCCGCACTATCTACAATCCATTTCAAGCGATGATGAAGCGCCATAAGGCAGTGGTGGAGTTAGTTTAATAGTTTCTGGAAGCTGCCAAGGTACAAGAAGCGTCCCTTAATAATTCCATTTTCTTATTGGCGTCTGTAAATGCGATAAATCGAACTCCCAAAAGGAGCAGAGATTATATCGGCATGACAAGACCGTATACTTAATAGTCATTCAGCGTCTGCCCTCGTAACTTAAGATCTACCCTAACCCTAAGAGAGTTAGCACTATATCAGCTTTAATGATTTAATGGAATACTTTGTTCGACTGGCTGATTCTTAATGTTTTCAAGTCAAGATGAGGTAGCCTGATGGGGCTTTACTTCAATTATCGAGGTATTATCATTCAGCTCTCTCTTATTCCGAATCTTTTCGATTGTCTTTCTCGGGGGACTTCTCAACAAATTCTAAATTGCCCATGGGGCTCTTCAAGAAGAACTTGTTTTCGAGACCTTGCTGCACCATTTGGCCCCAATCAATCCTTTACCTCAAGGTTAGTTGAAAATAAAATTAATTTGCACATTTTGTTCTTAGCTGTTAGTGGTCGAAAAGTAAGAATTATTTTCAATAGTAATTTCTTTAGTACAAAATGTATCGAATATAATACTTTGTTGCACGCGTCTCCCCCTTTTTTACTCTCTCTGTCTCTCTCTCTCTATATATATTTCTATATACTTCTCTCTCTCTCTTTCTCTCTCTCTTTATCCCTCTCTCTATCTCTTTCTCTCTCTTTCTCTTCCTACCTCTCCAACTCTGTTGTTTTCCGTCATTCGGTAGAGTTTGTATCAAGCAGATATCTATTTCTCACTTATCATAGTTATAATGATACAGGGAATCAAAAAGAGATTTTGAAATCGAATAGATGTCATCGCGCATCCCAATAATCCGTTGAAGAAGGAAAGAAATGTTGATGACGAAATTCAACTTTATTTAGTCAGTTTAGAATGAGATTTATATCCTTGAGAACATCTCAAGGATGCAAAATGTAAATAAACCAAAATATACTATCTGATATAGACATTGTCTAGAACAGAAAGAGCTAAAAACACCTACAACGGTTGCATTATCAAATCTTCAGCAAATTTAAAGACCACAGAATATTTTCGCTCCCTGATATACCTGAGTGGTTCGCATGTCCACAGGCTATATGAATATGTGTGTGCAAACCTCCCTGGCAGTAGCATTTACTTTAGTACTCGGAACTGCTCGAGCAATTTGTCGAGATTTATTCCTGGTTTATTCGAAATATCGCATTAGATTGTTTAAACAAAAATCACGTAAACTCACGTAAACGTTGGCCAAATAGTCTGGGCGATTCCCGTTAAATCAAGGGAGAAAAGAGTTTTATATGCGAGTAGTAATAAGTGTTGTGTGAAGAGTTAACTCGCACGACAACCCGTAGCAAGTCGGGTCTGCTGAGAATATCTAGAAAGAATCGTGGAAATTCGTGTTAAAATTATCTGTCACACTGTTGTATTTTTTTCAGCAAACCAAGGGTTTGAAAAGGATTAATGTTCAGAATTC